TGAGATTTTTGTTTCGTGATTCTTTTTCTGAAATTATCTTATTAGACACCTCTACTTTTTCCCTTTCTTGTTTTAGTTCTCATTCTAATTCACCAATTCTTGCATCTTTATTCTCAATTATCTTACTAGAAATTTCTAACTTTTGGTTTTTCTCTGCCATCTCCTTTGCTGATGCTTCTTTCCAAGTTCATCTTTCTTTTCCTCCAGTTTCTAAAGCCTCTAAATGAATTTCATTATCTATTTCAGCCTTCTCTGCTCTTGCTTTTCATTTTTCAACAAGGAGTTTATTCTTTTCTAACTCTTCTTTTAACTCAGCATTCCCTTTTTCTAACTCAGCAATCTTTTCTTCAAGCTTTTTATTTTTTTTTGTAAATAAAACCAAAAGAATTTGAACTATTTCAGGTTCAAATTTACTTGGTGTTTTGATCAAAGTACCTTTCATATCTACTTTATGTCCAACTTTTGCTCTTAAAAAAGGATTGATTTTTCATTTTGTGTCCTGTTTGTTGAAATTGCTTGGATTTCACCCCTAATATTTGAAAATAAAAAATCACTGCATCATCATTTGAAATTCTTTTAAAAGAAATATTGATTTATTTACTAAGTGTTTTTGATATTCATTGATGTAAAAATGCCAGAAAATAACGGAACTGTAGTCCACATCTTCAATTCTTCCTCTGTGCATATCATTTGAAGTTTTGACATCTTGTTTTTACTGAACAATAATCCAAATGAAAACATCTTATTAGTAAAAAAATAATTTAAATAATATATTCAATATACATACATAAACAGCATAGTGGACACTGTTGCAGATCACAAAAAAATGATCAACATAACATATGTTATGGTGAAAGTTCTTGCAAAAGTTTGATTATAAAAGTGTGAGATAATTTTGATCTTGCTGATGATCTGGACTTAGAGAGGCTACAGCTATATTCTAGTGAAGTTTCAGAAGCAACTGGATCTGTGTAACCGCCTACCTATTATACAAATCACTGTTGCACAAAATGAGTGTCCATTATGCTTACATAAACTGGATATTAATGTCCAAATTTTTAACAGAATCATTTTTGTCAGCATTTTCACAATTGTTATTGAAATATTTTTGGAGTGGAGACATTGTTATTCCATTGGATTTTATTAGAAAAATCTAGGGATAATTTTTAGATTTCTTTATCCTCTATTTTAAAGTCCTTGATACTCTCTTTAGTTAAATCCAATATTCCCCAGTATGCAGGACTAAAAATTAGCGAATGAGTATATTAATGAGTATGAAAGGATCATGCTTTAAGACAATAACACTAGACTTATGTCAGCACTTTATGTGCATTTGGTATTTGTTTTTGGTATTTACAAAATAATTCAATAATACACAGTGAGTCTCAGTATAGCGGATAATTTGGGCAATTAGAACAAAAATTTCAAAAATCCATTATACCGAGATTAATTCAAGATTTAATTAGTAAATCCGTTAAACTGAGAGAATTTACTTATAGATGGTTCTGAGCTTTGATCCGTTAAACCGAGAGTTTTATTAGACATCTGCTATACCAAGGTCCGCTATACCGAGACTCACTGTGTATTTGGATCAATGATCCCCTATTATTAATAAAACAATGAGTTTATTTAAACATGCATTCATTAAACATTTATATCAATCTTTACCTCAGAAGTTTTATCATCAGTGTTTTTGATGGTAATGGAACTTCATCTGATAATAAAGCTTCATCAACATTTACAATGATAGATTCTTCATTAGATCCATTAAGATTAAGTAAAAATTCAGCACTTTCTTGCATTTCATTATCATATATTACACTGCTTTCTTGTTTTCTTTTTCTTTCTGATGTATTTTCAACATTAGTACTAGTATCGCAAAAATCTTTTTCTGACTCTGCCACATTTCCCTCCAAATCATAAACATTCATTGTTGGACAAGGTGTATAATCATTCAACCCATTATTTTTGTCTGATTCTAATTTTTGAGTTATGAACTAAATATATGATGACCATATTAAAACAGATTGTATCTAAAGAGCCCAGATGCAGTATGCTAAGAACCATAATACTCACATCTCTATACTCAGAATTACTTATCTGTACTTTAATAGTTTTATCTTCCATGACACTTAATCCAACATTTGTATCATATAAAATCTATGATAATATATGTTTGTTAGTATTTGTTTGCATCATTATAAACAAACTTATGCTACTCACTTGTCCAAATTTTAGTTCTTCAGCAAAAAATTTTTTATTTCTTTCTGATTTCTGATTGATGGATTGAGATTTTTAAAAATTTTTTGAGCCTTATTCTTTGCAGATTTAAGGTTGTTCTTTTGTTGATTTTTTTTGTATAAAGCAGATCTCAACGAATCTATAAATTCTTCAAAACATTCATTAGTTAAATTGATCAAATCCGCAACATAACACATTATATTTATCAAACTCCAGCTAGTGTAATCTGTTTTTTCTAAATATTTAGAAATCAAATAGTCAAAATCCATCCTATTTAAAAAAAAAGTTAACACCAAATATGAAAGAGGGAAGAAAAAATCTGGCTAAGAATAATGTTTTCTGGTGAAGAAGCTTAGGAGTAGGCTATAAAGAAACAATCCCCATAAAGGATTATATCAATAAAAGAGTATCCATGTCTTCTCACCAAGCATCAGCTGTAGGAGTCACCAAGCATATTAAATATGTGGTTAAGCACATACAGACGTAGGAAACATTATACTGAATATATTAGAAACAAGCCCTTGGAGTAGGCTACAAAGAAGCAGTTCCTTGCAGGATCACGTCAATGAGAGTATCCACAAAACTTGTTCTAAACAGCGGACGCAAGGGTCACAAAACATTGTTTTGCTATGCTATACGGACACCAGATATTATGAATCCAGATATTAATATAAGATATGTAACATTTTTCATACTTTCCTTATTTAATTACATTCGATTTGAACAGTAACAAGCCCGGGATTTTTTTGTGGAATTCATAACGTAGCAGGCATTCAATTTTAAGAAATGATCGGCATTGGGTTCACAAAATGAACATAAAAAACTACTAATAGAAAGCCTAGATTCCGTTTAATAAATAAAACATTTTTATTTATTTAAGTTAAATCATTTTTCTATTGTAAAAAGCCAAAGACATTTATAAACATTAATCATATATATATTTTTTACACTGATTTATTAATTATTTTATATAGGGATAATTCTACACATCAATTAATATTAAGAAGATAGCAAGTAGGAGTTTTAATAATCACATTATTAAATTTTGATTCCTAAAATTTTGGTAATACCAATGTTGGTTTTGTTGCAGCATGCCCCACATATGGATTGATGTTTCCACTGAAATATCATTATTATATATATTGAAAGTAATCCTTGTTATGTACCTCTCTTATATATTCATTTTAAAGAAAAGACTAATCATTTAACAATAAATACCAAACAGTATATATATTTCCTTCTGATATTTTTTTATCCTTGATAGTTAGTTGTGTAACAGCTCACCATTGATTGATTGTTTAATAACAAATATATGGGTTCCAATTGTTATCATGAACTGTGAGTAATTATAATTTTTGATAATCTCAGGAACAATGCATTTTTTTTTCAGAAATAAAAACCAAAAAATATAACAAAGGAGAGATGCAAATTTTATAATTAAATTTTTTTTATAATAATGATATATAGTTGTAAATCAATTATAATAAATAAATAAATAAAAATATACAAATAAGCATATAAAAATTTTTTTTTGTCAAATGTTTTTTATCACTTATACTTTTTTTGTCGTTTTATATTTCTGTCAAAATTGAAAAAATTTAATATATTTAATGAATTAAAATTTGACAACAAAAAAAAATCAACAACACTTACATCCTCCATTTGTGGTCTTTTGGTTGGATCAATGGTGCTTGTTAATCCAAGTAATGTTTTAGAAACTGCTTCGGATGCACCAATCATTGGCTTTAGCACTGCTACAGGAACTGCCCTGATAACAGCTTTAACTGTTCCTTGAGTTCCTGTTTTCTCATATACTTCCATTGGTACTGCAAATATTGTGTGAGTTGCTGCTCCGATATTCTGTCTTAAACTTTTATAGGCAGCTTCAATTCCTAATAATTATAACAATAAATAATCGCATTATATTATATATTTAATGTTCAATTATAAAAGTAAACTAATGATATTCAAAATACCTTCATTTAAATCAGCTGGTGGATTGGCATATTTACTTATAAGTTCTTTATCATCATCCTCTTCTTCACTATTATCCTCCAGATCTTCATTAACATTTCTATTGCTTGTTCTTGGCTGTGTTTCAAAAGAAAGAATCTCATCTGCATGTTCCAGTAAAATCTGTGTGCCAACTGCAAGTTTTGTTCCAAATTTAATAGCCTCCATAGTTGTAGCTCTTGCAAATGATTGTGTACCTTTCTGAAGACCTTGATTAATGAAAAGTAATCAGTGAATTTGCAAATTAATAACAAAAAAATCAAAATCATCATCATTATTAATATCATTGTTAACATCACTCTAAAAAGTCACAAACCTCGGATTATTCTACCATCTTTCTTATATTGTTCAATTGGCAAAAGAATAAGATCAGCAACACCAGATCCTATGTTAACTAATGATCGTATTGGGGTAACACCAGATACAAAACTCGGAACCTGTGTATTTTTTATATGTGGTAACCATGCTGCTCCTAACTCTTCAAATAATCGTTGCCAACCTTTGACCTGGTAAAATTAGTAGGGTTTATAATATAAATTTTATAATTAAATTTTTTAAAATAACAATGACAATATTTATTTTCTAAAAAAAAAAAGACCCACTCCTGTTAATTTAACAGATCTTAATGTCATTTCCGCTGCTTCAAAATGGAAAAAGTTCATTAATTCTACTAGATTTCCTCCTTTCAAATTAGTATAATCAATATGTTTTGGTTTATAATCTATTTTCATAACAATAGGTTGAATTTCGAAATATTCTAAAAATTATAATTATATAAATATGTCATTAATTAACCTTAATATTTTATAAATTTTTCTAAATTAACTAATTATTGAAATAAAAATAAAAACATACGAAAATATGTATCATCTTCAACTTGATTTATATTTATTGTGTTGTCTTTGTATGAAAAAAATCCGATTGAAAAATTAAGAGCATCTTGATCTATATAAAATCTAAGTGGCAACAATTGTAACTATATAAAAAAGGATCAGAAAAAATTTTCAATATTTTTTTTAAAGAAATTTTCTATTCAAATCTTAATCTTGACAATGTCTCAAACACAAACCTTTATTCGAAATTCCTCTGCAGGTTCTGAAGGTATTGAACGAATACTATTTAATTCAAATCTTATCATGTTTGATTTGCTTTCTCTAGGTTTTGTATCTTTGTCTGGATGCATTTGTGTTAAGAATTTATGCCATGCTGAAGTTTTAATATTATCAATAATCTCAATATCTTGAACAAGTAACAACAATCGAAAAGCTATTACATCATTAGCAGGAAAAATATCAAATTCCAAATTTATTTTGTCAAGCTTTATATCGAGTTTACTTTTTCTTGAGCTATTAATTCTTTGTTTGTTTGTTTGGCTAGAAGACATTTTATTAGTTACACCACCAGCAGCAGCAGAAGAAGAAGAAGAAGAATTTGTAATTGATTCTGGTCGTTTATTTGAATAATAATTAATGTTGTTAATGTTGTTGGTTTCACTTATTGAAGGACCTATTCCCCCTTTTGATATGCTTTCTGTAGTTTCTATGGGATTTGTTGGTGCCTTCTCGGGATTAAAGTCTGGAATTTGATCTTTTGTGTGCTTCCAATCATATCCATCATATAATTTCCATATAACATTAAAATCGTTTAATTTTATTCTTGTTAAAGATTTTGGAAATCTATAAAATTAGGAGGAAAAAGGCATGAATATTAAACAAATAAATAACAATTTAAATAGATTAATAAAATCATTACTCTTGATTGATATTTTCAAGTTCATTTGCAGTTGGCACAGAGAAATGGTCATCTTCAAAATTTAAACACTCATTATCAGAATCTAAATGTTTATTATCAGAATCTGAACTATTATCATCATCAAATGTAATATCAGGCTTGATATTATTTTTTTTATCCGGCTTGGAAGAAACTAGAAATACATATAAATATATATAAATTTCAAGAAATAATTATTGATAGTAAAATAAAATAAATGTTAGTTATTACTACCTTCATTAGCATCACCCATTATGATTTTCTCATAGTCTTCTTTATCATCTTCTTCTGTACCATAAAATTTTTCATCAAACTCCAAATTAGAATTTGATATTTCAGGATTTGATGAATTTATCTCCAGGGGGGTAAAGACATCTTCTTCAATAATTTTTTTAAGTGCTAAATAATTAAAAGCAAATTAATATTATAGAAATAGAATATAAGACATTTATGTTTAAATAATTACCATCAAGATTTATACTTATATCTTTTCGATGAAATGTATCTTTTCGATTAAGTGGAACACTGATAATTTGTCATTTTTAAAAATAAAATAATCATAAATCACAAATATATAAAGCGAATAAATATATTGATGGATGTTTTCTTTTTACATACTTTGTTTCAGGTGTACCATTCTTTGACGTAATGTTAGTCATTAAAGCAATTAAAGTTTGAAATGCATCTGCACATGTCTCTATTATAAGATTTTCATTTGTAAGTTCAAGCTATAGTTTTATTGAAGTTAGATATTTATAAATATTTAATCAATCGATAATTAATGATAATTAAAATTAATTAATTACCTCAAAGTGCGGATATATTTCACCTTTATTTGTTCGAAGTAATATTTCAGCAAAATCTAAAGAAGCTGTTTTAACAAATCCTAATGACTTTATTTTTGTGCAAAAAAATTTAATTTATTAATTTATTGATTTGTGTAAGTGAAAGGACCATATATAACCTTAGAATTATTTGCTCACCTTCCAATATTTTTTAACGCTCACAGATTCAGCAGAAAATCTATTATAAGGTTTATTATTGTTGAGCGATTTAACATCATCAATAAGCATTAAATCCATTCTTTGAACAATAAATTTGCAAGAAAACATAGGCGAATCAGGATTAATATTACTACACAACTAATAATATTATAATTAATGTTTGTGTGATATTTTTAATTTGAGATTTAAAGAATGTTTTCTAATCCTCTGAATTTTTTTTACCTTAACACAATCAATTGCGAAGACTACCCTTGCTGGAAATTTTTCAGGCTGATAGATAATAGAACAATCTCTGACAATAACAGATAGTTTAGTGAATTGACTGGGAATTTCAATAGAAGTTAACTGAAAAATAAAATAAAATAAATTTTATCATTATTTAATTAATAAACACATAATATAATGTAATACAATGCAAATACCATTTCTGGTTCCTGTAAAAATTCTATTAGATCTCCAGTCCATTTAGGATCTTTGGTAAAACTCAAAGTTATACCATTAACAAATAATGACATATCTGTTTCTTTCACATTTGATTCATCATCTTCATCATCAAGTGATAAATGCATGATTATTGAAATCATTGGTCGAGTATTTTTATGCTAATAATTATAATCAATGATGGCAAAAAAAAGTTATATTATTTACAAATATGATAAATAATTAAAATAAATAATTTGAATTTACTTTAAAATCCTCGCTTAAAGTTCTACTAAATATCAGTTCGTCATTCTGATCCAAAAATGAGAATTGATCATTATCTAAAACAATATAAGTATCATTCTGTATCCAATGATAATATATATTTATATTAAGTCATATATAAATCAAATATAAATGTCAATGAATAAAATAAAAATGAAAGAAATTTACATACTTTGCCTTCGTGTTTAAGAGCTGCAAAAAATCTAAAATCATTCATAATAAATTTATATGAATTCATTTTATCATATTGAGCTTTTGTTTTATCTGACTGGCACAACAATGAAATTTCAACTAATAATATATATACACCCAGATAAATTAGCCTCCAGAGAACATATCAATTAATAAATTTAATTAAAATAATTATAATATCATTCTACAAACCATTTGTCATGGATACAACAAGAGATGCCAAGCTTGGTTTTAAGGATATATTGGTATCACTGCGAGCTCCAATAAATTCAGACTCAAGTTTTCTTCTCATATCAAAATCATCCAAATCGTACATACTTGATCCATAAGGCAATTCATTGTTTTCTAATCTACTGTTATTATTATTCCTAAATTGGGTGTTAAAAGTTGATTTAATATGATCACTATTATAAGATGCTACAACTTCATCATCATTCACAGAAATGTTTGGTTGCCATATTGACAAATCATTAAATAAGATTTGGAGTCTATCAAATTGTGTTTTGTTCATTTGAACACGAGTTTTAGGAAAAATACAAGTAATTACAAATATCTATAAATATAAAAAACATATATTAAACTTAATATAATATAAAAAAGGTGGTTCCCTAGATAGATAAATAAATTATTTTTTACTCACTGAACTTTCAATAATTCTTTGTTTGAACATCAAAATCTCTTCTTCTTCATTTTCAGTTGGCCAAGTTGCTCTATCCTCACCTTCAAAAGATGTAAATGTTTGTGAAAAGGGTGATCGAATTCCACTTGAGATAAATGTCAATCTACTAGTAATTTCACTAGTTGGACGATAAGATATTTCTACATTTAAAAGTGTTTTTGCTGATTGATTATGATTAAGTGGTTGTATAGATGGATTCACATTAAGAAAGCATCTAGCTTCTTTTTCTATCATTGTTCAAAAAAAGATTTATAAAAATTAAATTAATTTAAAACTAATTAAATTGGTTGATCAATTAATTAATTAATTAATTAAGAATACCATCATATTTTTTCAAAAAAACTTTTATTCCATGACATTCAATTTTAATTTTGTCTTGTTGTTGTTCATAATTCTTCAAATACAATTCATCGTGTTGTTGTGATATAAGACTTGAAGATTGTGAATCAATATTTTGAAGACTACTATCTGTATAAAGATCAACATTTATTATATCTGCAATAAGTAAATCTGAATGTAAACTAAAACAATTTGTAACATCTAATTCATTTGCTCCACTCATATCCGGACAATTTAGCATGATTCTTATTAAATTACACTTTAAACTTAAACGTGATGTTTGCAAACTTTTATTCTAAAAAGATGTATGTATATGTATATATATTAATGATGATAAATAGGTTTTCTATACAATTGGAAAAAAAAACTGACCTCTTTTAGCCTTTGAGTATCCAAGTCATCTATTATATGTTGACTTGTTGAATGTTCTGAATAAGTTGTCTTTGATGAAATTTCTTCTCGAGAATACATAACATTAGAGTTACCACTTAAAACCATTATATATCTTTCCAATCTATCAATTATTCTTAAATCCAAATGTAATTGAATTGGTTGTAAATTTACTTTGATATCATTAACAACAAGATTTTGAGATATTTGTGTAGACGCCAATGAACCTAAAAGCGAGAAAATCAAAATGCTTTAGTGTTATCAATTAAAAATATGTTATTAAGCATTTAATATATATGTATAGATATATATATAAAATATGTAATTAAAAATACAATAATTATACATATAAATACCTCCTGATGTATAATTATTTATACCAATTTTTATTTGAATCGCTTTGTTGTCAAAATTTTTTCCACTAGTTTCAAATGATGTAGCACTAGAACTTGAACCCTTGAAGCTATTGGCTCTATATTTAGCATTCTTTGTTGCTGGGTTTTCATTAACAACAAATTTTGGAAAATCTATTGTCTCAAGATCATAAGAGTTCAAAAGATTTTGATCGAAAGATAATATGGGATTATAAATATCAAAATTGGGTAGAATATACTTGGGACTTGATGTATTGGTTTCCGGTTTAGAATTCTCTCCTTGTTTAGGATGATTTTTATTCAGCCACTCCGATATTGATAGGTTGGATAAAGATATATTCACGTAAACATCTAAACCTTCTTCACCTTCTGCAATTTTTGGTAGATTAGAAGAATGACTACCACCTGTAATACTACCACTACGTTTTCTACTAAAAAAAACATCGGATTTATGGATTTGAATATTACAAGAAAAATCACCGATATCAACTTTTAAATGATCGCAATTAAGTATTTCCGGTACCCCTGTATCAAAAAATTTCCGATCAGGTATGCAATCAAGTAGAGGATCCTGATATAGGAAAAAAAGTTCAAATTTAGAAATATTCATTTTTATATCAAACATATTTGAAGTTGTGATGTTACTGTTATTATTATAGTTATTGTTACTATTATTATTATTACTATTATTAATATTATCAAGATCCTCTAAAATGTAATCAGAATGTTCATCGTAATTAGGTTGCATAGGTTTGTAATAATTTTTCTTATCATAGTTTTGGTGATGCTGGTGATTATGATGCGGGTTATTATGTGTACTAGTTCTATTAATATCTGATAATTTATTTTCAACCATTTGATTTTTTTTAAGTACATTCTCGCTAAAATCATCATCGCTTTCCATACTACCAGAAGATCTTGTATCCGAAGCATATTTACTTTTACCTAAAATGTTCAATAAATCTAATATTAAAGCTAAGTGACCTGGTGTCATCATAGTTGCCACTGATTGAATAAATCCTTCAATGTCCAAAGATTGTGTAACACTTGCTTGTTTTTTAGCTTCTTGCGAATAATAAAATGATGATGTGTCATTGTTCAAATCCATTTGAACTGAAAAAGGAGCATTTGGTCGCAATCTAATTCGAATCCAATTTTCTTTCTCTGAACAAGAAAGAATCATGGCTTCGTATGGCTTTTCTTCATTATCATGACAATCATCTTCTTCTAAAAAATCACGTGATTTTGTATAATTTGATGTACTATCATATTCATCATCATCATTGTCATTATTATTAGGTAATCTATCTGGATTCAAAGTTGATAGTTGATTCAGTTTATTCGAAACGTTAAATGGCGCTTCTCTCAACCAAATATTAAACCCATCAATTGTCACTGATTTTATTGTTTCTTTTTGATCAGGAGGCAAAGTAACGCTGGCAGAACTATTATTGTTGTCAGTGTTGTTTGATGTATTTTTGGAATGGCTTGAACCGGGTGTATCGTCACAAAATGATATGTTAGGTATTTCCAGATCAAAATAATAATCCTTTGTTATCTCAGGATCGGATGACAAGTTAAAATTGGGAGAAATGTTGGATTGATGATGAATTCGAATGCAAGAATTTTTAAGTACTATTTTAACATTTGATAATAATTTATCAATCAATCTTGCCAAAATTTGAACACCTTCAATACTACTTTCAGAATGTAGAGGTGGTTGTTGAGGTAAAGTGTCAGATTGGTCCATGTTATTATTAGTATTATGATCTTGATTATCAGAAGGATGTCCTGAACTGCTATGAAAAGAATTATAAATGGAATTTCGAAGCTCTTCATCCTCGTCAGGATATATTTCACGAAAAAAATCCCCAGCGATAACGATTGATGATGATATATGAGAATCTTCTGGTGTAGTTTTAGCTACAATATTTTATATTTTATGTATAGATACATATATATGTAAATATGTAAATATGTAATAATTGAAAATCCAAGAAAGTGATATTTTATATTCAATAAATAAAAATAAAAATAAAAAATTTTCATTTCTTTATTATATTTTTTTCTTTTTATTATTTTAAATTTTTTTCTTATATTGTTTATAATAAAAACATAAATTGATCCATTTATAATTATAATATGGGCCAATTTATTAAAACAATAATTTTTACCATTTCTTGGTTTAACATATTCTGGAACAACTGTTAGTTGTAAATTATGCATCTCCAATACAACATCACCATTCCATAGATTCTTCCATGGAATATCAGCTACAATGCCACCTATTCGACCTTCAGTCACTACAACTGGTAAATCTGTAAGAAGATCATTTATTACCTATAATTATAAAATATATACATACGCATATTAATGTAAATATTTAAGAGTTCCATAAATATATTAGAAAAAAAAAATAAAAGACAAATACCTCTACATTAAGTTGCAACTCCTTTAAGTGAACAACACCATTACCCAACAACTGAACCTCAAGGTTATCGAGATCTAGTTCTTCTGCTAAAAAATGACCTAAAGCTCGTTTTATTAAAAATTTTAGTAGTCTTTTTTGTATTGTTACCGGTATTGCAATGCTCAAGCCCCAATTACTGAAAGACCATCCTTTATACATTTTTTTTATTTTATTTTATTTTATTTTATTTTAGCAAGTTATTATTTTTATATTTATTTATTTATTTTTTAATGATTGTTGCACCCAAAATTGACTACTACGCACAATTACATACCTCCATCACCTGATTTTGGATGACTTTAATTGGTTTTTTTTTTTGTTTTAAAACAATGACTTTATTATTACTTATTTTTAGTAATTTATCTATAAAAGGGAATCTGCAATTTCACGAAAATGGTTGCGTTGTATAATTGATCAGTCAATATGGCATGTTGATGTTTGAGATGTCGAAGAAATTAATCTCGAATGGATTTGTTTTTCTTTCTTTCCAAGGTCATAAAACTTTCTACTTCCAGAACTCTCCGTTTTTTTCTTGCTGTGTTGAGATCAACATGAATCCAACAATTATTTACAAGAAGAATAAGAAAAAACTAATATATATACATTTGTCGTCGTAATGCATGTAAAGTTTGCACCCGTAATGTAAAATTACGCTATTACGGTGTTGCAACAAATACAATTTTCGTAATATTTGCTATAAATATTTACGTAATGTTACATTCAAATAAAAAGTAGATCACGATCTTACTTTTCAATATCTTTTCTTCCGCGAGTATGTTTTATGCATTTTAAAACCATTTCTTTTTCGTATTTTTCATATAATAATAATTAAAGATGAATTTTGCTACTGATAACAAAAACAAACATGGTCCAAAATATAATGAATATTTTACACGTGGTAGCCATCTTGGCAATGGAAATTACCAACCTACGTGTAAGTTATGTTTGTCATTTTTTAAAGATGCCCGACCGTATCAAATGTTTTATAATAATAAGATTTTTGAGACAATATAAATAGAAATTGGTCCGACTGCATTGTGATTATGTTGCAACACTATGTATAGTTTTTATGTAGTATATAAAGTTGCAACTTTTGATATTTGATTACGGAGGGCAAACTTAAATGCATGTCATCTCTATATTGAGATAAAACTAGTGATATCAGCCGTTAAAAAAACCTTAGCCAGCTAGCCGTCAAGCCACTATAAATTTTTTATCTTAGATAAATAATATATCAGATATATTCGCATTAATTATTAAAAATCAATTTATCAATTATTTTTATTGTTTATTTATAAAAATTCATTCAAAAAGTTTTGAATT